CCTTAAAAATTTAGATTTTTAATGTAGCATGAAAAAGTATCACACTTCCTTACTTATTTAATTACACATAATAATATTGTAATAAAATACATTTTAATCCAAATGAAATATATAAATTTGTCATGTCATACATAAAAATAATTAAATGTGCACTTACTCTATCGTAACATAATAATGTTGAAAAGTTTCACTGTTTTCAAGCTGTGGATGATATGAACAAACTTTGCACAAAAGACAGCATCATTGCAGTGAAAATACATCTCGGAAACAAGCACAACTGCAAAAATTGAGTAATTGTTTCATTTTTCGCCGATTTACTAGATCTTGAAACAAACCATGTATCTTTTTCTTGCTTCAGTCGATACATAACTTTATCAACATGTTCTTGCTGCTTCTTGCGCTCGTCTTGCAATTTTTCAATAAGAGCCATATGGCGTTCTTGTTCCTTTTTATTTTATTAGCACTCTGAAATGATAAGACCATACACGTTTTGAAGTCACTATATTCAAAACAAAAAGTTTTAGTGTTCTTTTTGTTTAATTATATTAATATTTAACCATTCCACTTTAGACATATTACATAAAAGGTGAAAACCAAAGTTACATCATTGAATATGAACTAGGGTTTGTCAGTTTTCAAAAACCGGTTTTAAAAACCGTTTTTTTGACGAAAATTATGGAATTCGAAAACCGGTTTTTTTAGTAGAAAAAGTCGGTTTTCACTGTATAAATGGAAAATAACAAATATAGCCAAATATAAAAGATAGTAGCAAGCGTTTTGATTCTTGGAATCATATTGGTTCAATAGCATTTAGAATCCTATCAGTCTGCTATGGTTCCCACAAAAGTTTTGTGTTATCTTTTGTCTAATGTATATATTAATTTAGATTTTTATACCAGTGTATATATGATTATAAATCAGTGTGACTTCTTCTTGAAAAAGTAACTCCTTCTACTCAATTTTTAAAAATATGAGTTTTCAGCCCTATAAACCACAAGTAAAAGGACAAACAACTTAGAATTAATATATCAGGCTTTAAAAACAATTAAGTTCGGTCGCAAGTAAGAGAGTATTTTCTATTTTGGGAAATATTGTGAGTAAACAAAGGACACGTCTAAGTAACAAATCGATAGATATTCTCAATTTTTTTATATCATATTTTATTAAATAAAAAAATAATTAAAATTTTTAAAATTAATTAATTAAAATTGCTCAGAATAGAAAATACTCGGGGTTTAGCGTAATTGTTTTCTAAAATTGATACAAACAAGTATGTATCAACATGTACCTAATACGTTTTTTTTTAATTTAAAAAAATTATTATTTTTATTTATTCGAAAACTGTTCTTTCACTGTGATATTTGGAATATGTTTCCATTTAATAATAATCCCATTTCGGGTACTGCAATGAATGGAAAATCTCTCACACTATTTTTCCCTGAATAGAGTTGGAGTTTGATTCAGCTCGTGGTCCTACCCTAGGGCAGTACTACCCGTTATTATTATATTAACTACAGCCTTACAATAATTTATACGCCGATTTCAGAGCTCTAAAATTACCACAAAAAAGTTGAAGCTGTTTGAGCATCGGGTTGTTCAACGAAACATGTCTAACGTGTTTCCGCAATATCAAAAATAAAGAAAAAAAAAAGTTGAATTAATAAATAGTGAATTTGTTTTTTATATTCAAAACTTACTAGAAACCACAACTCTGGAACGAATTAAGGGCATTTCAATGTATTTATATGAGACAAATTGTTTCGAGATATGAGCGATTCGACATACGAGCGTCGTAAGGTACGAATTCAACTTGAATGTCGGGGGTAGCACTGTATTTTAAAAATTATATAATATACGACTCCTCAAGATATTAACAAACATTTCAATAAAAATTTATTGAATATTTTCTATATACAAGGCAAAAAATCAAAATTGAGTTAAATATTTGTATATATTTAGTAACTTATATAATAAAACTTACATCTTGTTGATCCAACAATTCAAGTGACAACTGCTTCAATCTATTAATTTCTCTATTATAGCTCTCCACAGGCACATGTAAATCTGCCATACTTAAAGACCAAAATGTAACGAGAAATTGAGGTGACATATCTTCCCAAACTCTTGCTGGATGCAATGTCCGAACGGATGCAACTACCGGTGACATAACATGTTCACATGCTTCTGCATATTTTGCTTGTTTCAAAGCCGCTGTTAATTTGCGTGGATTTGGATCAGTTTTACGCAATTGATCATATTTTTGCTAGAAATGAGAAAACAATCAGCATTTGATCAATGATTAAGAGCCTGAAATATTATCTATTATTATTGATTACGGCTTGCTTATGAATAAATAAATAAATCAATAAAAGATTTTTTGTTGGTAATCTGATAAAATGATATTTCATGATCCTTATAATCAAAATTCAAAAGTTTCTGAAGACATAGGTCAATGCTCAAAACATCAAAAAACATGCATGCAGCACTAGGCAATTAATATGACAACATACACAACAGTTGTCTTATGTTAATAGAATAAATTTTGAAATTATCACATCTTCTGCAATATTTCATACATTCATTTGTATTATTATTTCACCACCAGTTTTACTAAATGGTAGAAAGATAACTATTCAAACTTATTTTATAAAGAAATTGCCTACTACAACTATTAAGTACTATTAGTAATAAATACTTACACTAATGGCATGAGTAAACATGGGCCGTGCTAAAAAGAAAGCTACATCAGTGTGTATGTGATATTCTTGCAACATCATTTGTATTGAAGGTAGTCGAGTTACATATTCATCAACTGAATATGTGGAACCTGTAATAAATAAATAGAATCAGAATAATTATACCAAAGACAATAGGATTTTCATATTTTGTTTCTAACGTAGGAAAATATTTGAACATTGAAACAATAATAAAATAATTTGTAGGAGTAAAATGACATTTTTGTTGACAAAATAATGAATGTAAAGAATATCAAGAAAAAAGGTAAAAAAAAACTTACCAAGAAAACTTCCAAATTGCACTAACGTATCCTGACATTGATCATAGAGCTTGCTAACAAGTTTCAAATGTGTATACTCTGTTTCTCTATATATAACACAATATTTCTGCTGTGCAATTAGTAAACACAATGCCACAGATAAATCATGTTCATTCAATGCCTCTTTCAAGCGCAATGATGATTTTTTGGTGTTTCGTACTTGACTGAAAGATGCAGCCTACAGAATAAAATATCGTAATTAGTAGGTTACAGACCATCTAAATCATTCTGATATTAGCTTGATTTGATACAGCACTTGATATTGAATTTAGATCCGAGAAAACAAATTGGAATTATATTCTTATTTTAGTTTAAAATGTATTAAAGAATTGTTTCTTATATTTTCTTCTGCTTTTTATTTTTCAATAATTGCAAAAGTAAATATATGTTTAAAAATATAAATTACAATAATTTAATTACCTCTCCTTTGAGTAATTCACCTCCAGCAAGTGCTTCTAATTGTTCTTCAGTCAATTCTTCTGCGGCATCAATACAGGCCATTTTTAAGACAACTTCTTTCAAGATCAGCAAATCAGTACTAAAACATAAGAATAGCATATTAAAAAAAAATCCTAACAACTAAACCTTAGAAATTTTAGTATATGCACTTTAATATAATTTGACAAATTTATACTTGTACTTTTCTTTTCATAATAAATATGAAATGGCATTAAAATAACATTACCTACCTTTTTTGTGCTTTCAATTGATTTGCAACATATTGCAATAATCCACACAATTCAATATTATATTTTTTAAAGACAGCCCCACAAAATGAAGCTAAACTCTTCAACCAGAGTGAAATTGATGTGCCATCGTGTTTCATCCTTTGTTTATCTGGAGAACTAAGGGCTTCTATGAGGCAATAACCTAATATATCATAAGATAATGATGTGAGGTACTTGAGTGAATCAACTATAGGAATAATGAGATTGTCATATATCTGGATTTGTAGAAGTACCTGAAAACAACAAACAAATTTTATCATTCAATTTAGAGACTTTTATAAGTAGGTAAAAAGTTATATATATATATATATATATATATATATATATATATAATGTTAAATATGAACAATACAACACTCAGATTTTTAACACACACTTTATTTGGTTACAGACGTTTCGAGACCATGGTATACCATATCTTCAGTGTAATTTTAAAACAGTTACTTATATACTACACATTCTTTAATATTTTATTTAAATTACTTTTAATTTTTGATAATACAAAAAACACCAACTATCACTGCAAAGCTTGACACAGTACTAAAACATGTGAAATATTTTAAACAAATCTTAAGTATCGAGATGAATAAAGAGGATGGGTATTATTATAATGTAAACAAATGGAGTGCGCGATCGCATACTAAAATCAACAAGTGTGAAAACAGATTAATTTATTGAAGAGAATAAGATAATTGAAAAAAATTATAAATTATTAATGATGTTTAACATAGGTTGGACCTATTTCAAGCATTTAAAAGACATTCGATGTATCTCGATCAGGACTATTGTTTGTCAGTTTTGTGCGACGATCGGCCAAGCCGTTTCTTTATAAATAGCAGAAAAGTGAAAACTTTTTCGTCCACGTTTTAGCCCGCAATCCTGAATCGATTCTGAAAATTCAAAAACCGTTTCGAAAGATATTGGTTGGGAATCGTGCTGATTAGTTTTTCGTACAGATCGGCCGGGCCGTTTCCTTGTAATGAAATGTTAAAAAAACCTTTTTCGACGATTTTTCTTATTTTTTTGACAGTAGATACCATAGTCTTCCAGATCAAACTAAAATATTACCGCCCTACGACAACTCGTTTAGCTTTAAAAATTCGTCAAAGTTTGCAAAAATTGGTATCGTTCTTCTGGCATGTGTCAAAATTAGACCTTTCATCAACGTTTTCTCAAAAACATCTGAACCGATTTCAGAAATTTCAAAGCCATTTGATGTATCTCAATGAGGATTATCGTTTGTCAGTTGTGTGCGACGATCGGCCGAGCCTTTTCTTTGTAATTTGGAAAAAAAGTGTTGATCTTTTCGTCTACATTTAAGCTCATACTACCGAATCGATTTTAAAAAATCAAAAACTGTTCGAAAGATATTAGTTGGGAATGATACTGGTTAGTTTTAGGTGAAAATCTATCGAGCCGTTTTCTTGTAATTAACTGTTGAAACAAAATTTAAGACTATTTTTATGAAACTTTTTTTGGCGATATATATCATGGTCTTACAGAACTTACCAAAATATTACGGCCTAACGGCAAGTAATTTAATTTTAAAAATTCATCAAAGTTTGAGAAAATGAGTAGGTTTTTTGACGTTTGTTAAAATTAAAATTAGACTTACTTGGTATAACGATAGAGTACGTGGACTTAATGAACATACTAAACCATTAAAGTCCTACGGAAACTGGTTCAATTATAAAATAATGATTGATTTTTGAAAATTTGTTTTTAGAAAATACTCCGAGTTAACGTGCTCGTTCGTTTTCACTTTTGTGTAATAAATCCACTCGGAATACTTGTGATCACTCATAAACTAATTTATTTTTTATCGATTAAGTCGTTTATTTAAACATATCGGGAAGTTCATGTAACTTGCCTCAAGGCAAAATACCAATACCAACTAGTTCAAAATATTTCTGTATGTTTCACATATTTTAGCACTGTGTCAAGCTCTGCAAGTGATAGTTGGTATTTTTTGTATTTTCAAAAATTAAATGTAATTTAAATAAAATATTGAAGAATGTGTAGTATATAAGTAACTGTTTTGAAATTACTGAAGATAAGGCATACCACGGTCTCAAAACGTCTCTAATTATCAAATAAAGTATTTGTTAAAAATCTGAGTGCTGTATTGTTCATATTTAACATTTAATATTTGTTCCACTCATATCACAAAATTCTATATTGTATATATATATATATATATACATATATATATATATATATATATATATATTAGGGTGGTCCTTAAAATAGTCATTTTCGAATTTCCTTGCTCCCAGGGGCTCAAATGATTCCAAATTGATAAAAAACAATTCTCTGAAAGTTTTATCTCTTAATATTAACGTTTAGATAGAGCGCAATTCAATCAAGTTGTATGGAAAGAGCATGGAAAAATTTTGAAAATTAAAAAAAAATGTTTTAAGTATAACTTAGCGACAAATGAATGAGTTTTATTCATTCATTTGTTCGCTAAATTACATTTAAAAACATTTTTAAAATTTTTGAAAAATTTTTCATGCTATTTCCATACAAAACTTTGATTGAATTGCGCTCTATCTAAACGTTAATATTAAGAGCTAAAATTTTCAGAGAATTGTTTTTTATCTATTGGAACCATTTGAGCCCCTGGGAGCAAGGAATTCGAAAATGACCATTTTAAGGACCACCCTAATATATATATATATATATATATATATATATATATATATATATACTAGCCGACCCGACAGACTTCGTCCTGTCAAAAAAAATTGTAATGTGGCGGTGTTTTGTTCCTACTTTTTTTCTATTCTTTGCAAAAAATTATCCTGAACAGAACCGTCACCCTGGTAAAAATTCGGTGTGAATTAAAAATAGTTAAATAATTAAATTTGTGCCGTTGCAAAGGCGCGGTTGGTCGATATTTCGTAATATTATAATTGCCGATCCAATCTTTAATTGAAGATTGTGAGGTGATAATCTTAGCAAATCCAGCGAGTTTAAAAACTCCGGTGAATCGTCTTGGTTAGTTGTCGAATCAATATGTTCTTGAATTTCGAAATTTAATTCATTTACATCAATGTTTTTGGCTGCCAATATAGCTTGTTAATTAAGAGAAAGATATTTCTATGTTTATATAAATATATTAAAAATTAGATTATCAAAAACTACACAAAATGTCATGACATAGATCATTGTTTTTTCTACAAATTTCGTTGCCTACTCGATTAAAAAAGAAAATGGCTGTTTTTAGGGTTTTCCCGGCAATTATTCGAATTTTTCTCGCCGTAAGAACCACCCTTGGACATCAACGAACATTTTAAAAAAAGAATTGGCCAAATTGGTCCAGGCGTTGTTGAGTTATGCGCTTACCAACACATTTTGCGATCCATTTTTATATATAAGATATACATATACATATACATATATCTATTCCTTTTTTTATCTAAGAAAAAGAACTAAAATATTAAACAAGTGTAACTAAAATAATATCTCCAAACCTTGCAGGTAATATAACTAAAAAATACAAATCAATTGAAACATTGAAACTGATGGTGCATGACATCGTGCCTTAAGGCAAGTTGCTGGAACTTTGAAAATGTTATCCAATATATTATTATAAATACTGTAACTTTCATTATTCTTATTTTATAAGTAAAATGTAAAAGCTTATCAATTGTAAGACGATGTTTATATATGTTTACATGAAAAGTAAAGAAACAAAACTGGATCAAGCGGATTTAAAATTCCAAAGTTAAAATTATTTATTTGGAGTACGTAACAACTTTAGTTAGAATTGAAATTAAAATTTACTTCAGAATAAAAACAAATTTTTTTCTTTACCCAAAAACAATCGTTTGGTCACCAGAAGCAGAAAGTTTTGTGAATCATTGAAATCGGATGTTTAATACCTTCAAAAACTGCAATTTTTGCACATTTAGCTCCGTATTTCCGAAAGGGCTAGAACTACCTTTCAAAAACCAATCAGCACATCTCCCTATCAATAGGAATCTATTGCTTTTAAATCTTTCAAATCGATTGATCCATTGCCCCGGAAACGTGGACAAAAAATTGTATCCATGCATACGCGCACACACTCACATACATATATCAGTTTTTTTTTTCAGGTATGCCAAAATATTCAGAAACCTCTGAAACGTGAAGATATGCAAAAATTTTCATTTTCGATTTTTGGACGATTACAATAACTTACTATTTATTATATATATTTATTCAAGTTATATTATCCAAGTGTTTGAACTTGTTTAAATTATCAAATATAATGTCTGTAATGTATTTTTTTACATGCAATACTTCTATTCAAATATTGTACAAACATAGTATTTCCACATTTTGAAGCAAAATTATTAACAATCTAAGTATAAGTTGTATTATTGCCTTTAAGCAAGTTCTTCAAACTTTTTAAATCAATGTTTTATTCAAACTATTCAAGAATAACTAAGTAAGATTTCCAACAGATATCTTAATACAGATTTTGTATTTTCAAAATCTGTTGAAGATTTTTTGTGAAAATGTAGACAAGAAATTTTGTAGTTTTCTGGAAATTCCAAAATAAACAGCTCGGTCTCGCGAGTACTCATCGAGTTTCATCGAACCGCTTCTGAATGTTTTAAAATTAATGCAGCCTTTTTTGCAAAAATTTTGACAAAAGATCAAATTGCGACTCTTATACACAAATACATGTTTTTTCCAATTTTAGTCTCAAAGGTTTTAGAATGACAATCACCAAGAATACTTATTATTTACCAGTTGAATTTCCTGGCTTAAACATAATTTTGTCCTTTAAAAAGATAATAAATTACAGTTATAAAATACTCACATAATCAAAGAAAAATCCAGGACTGCAATGTGTCAACTTGCCAATTGATCTTCCAATGGGCTTAATATTTTCTTTACTTATTCTTTTTACTAAGTGTTTAATTTCCTTTTGTGTTTCTCCCTTCCTTCGTAGAAGTTTTGCATATTGTTGGAATGTGTCATTTTTCCATCTACCATATAAACTATACCGGTATTGATAAGGATATAATTTAATAATATTCCAAATCTCCTCTGCGATACAACAATTACAATCCATAAATGATAAAGCTGGCAGTATAGCCGAGTCCAATATTGAAAATATCTCATAGTACAAGTTATTATTGTCTTTAGGAAGTTTCAAGGAATTAACATCCATTTCAGCTAGAGCTGATTCACAAATACGTAAAATTTTACTTGCTAAAACTGGATCATAATGTAAAGAAGGACCCAAAAATACAATCATTGGTATGGCATCAGTTTTGAGCTCTAGAAGTGTTTGTGCTTGTTTTGGACCAAGATTAGTCATTGTATGTTGCACTGGCTTTAAATTGATTTTCTTGGCAATTCTACATTTACTACGATAGACCTGGTCAATTAGATAATGAATCAATTTACACAGAGCTACTGCTATAGGTTGTTGATCAATAACATAATTTTCTGGCAGTTTCAAGCAAAGTTGATGTGCATTATTCCAATCACCAATTTCTATTAAAGCCTGCAAAAAATTAGTATTAGTTTAAATTTGGATTGATTTAATATAAAAAAAATTATTTGAAATTTCATGTACCTGGCAGAGATTAAACTTCTGATTGCATTCATAACGATCATTGATATTATCTTTATCTTGTTCATTCGAGTCAGTTTCTTTATCTTTATCTTTATTGATAGATATTATGTTTAATCTTCTAACATACTCTTTGGCATCAGACATTTCTCTTTCAAATTGTCTACATAATATTTTATCATCAGGTGACAACTACAAAATGAAACAAATTAATAAACATTAAAAAAATGATCAATGTTCAAATTCAATTATATTATTACCCAATAATAAATATCATCCAAATTTATTACAGAATGCTGTAGCATCAAAGCTGTAACTTTATACAACGACTTCGGAGTGTTATAAGGATCTATATTGAATTTGAAACCTAGTACCTATAAAAAATAATATATGAAACAAATTATTATTCAAAAGAATATTTATACAATATTCTCAAATTACAAAATGTTATAAGAAATTGAAATCATAAAATTTTGAGTACATGATTATTTTGACTAAAAGTTATAAATTATTAAAATGGTAATTCTTGGTAAAGCAAATAGCCCAGTCATTTGGTGCAAAAAAAGCTGTTGCTTCAGAAGTTTTGAAACTTGGTGATTTTATAGATTTTTATATGATCTTTATGAATTTCAACTTTGCGACCTCGAATTTTCGCCGTTGCCGCCGCCATATTGGAAAAATTGCGTCAAAAGTTTTTTTAACGATATCTCCGTTCCGACTTATGTTACAACAAAATACCTAAATACAAAATTAAACTAGACAGAATTTTCTTTAATTTATTCAATAACGTTTTTTATTGTAAAATCAATAGTTTTAGCGTACGAGCGCTGCAAAGTATTTGATGCTCGCGCCGCCATGGGTCCTCGCGGTATTTGACTACTCTTTGCATTTGAACGTATTCTCTCTAATAAATAAATAATTTAAATGTTGAATTGAGACTTTCTGCTTAGGTCTGATCTAGAAATAACATAATTTAATTATTTTTGTTTTTCATTTTTGCCGATGATTGAACATTTTGAATCATACAATTTGATGCAATATTAAATTTCTTGTAAGAATAGCTTTATACTAAATTAAACTTAAAATCAACGCAAAGTTGAAATTCGTAAAAATCACATCAAAATCTATATAATCACCAATCTTCAAAACTTCCAGAAAACTTCTAAGGTAACACTACTAAATGACTGAACTAAAATAAAATACCATACATTTTCAAAAATCAACAAAGGCACTTTAAAAATAGATAATAAATGGAAATTAGCTTTCTTTTTTAAATGAATACATTTTCTATTCATGAAACAATTTTCTTACCTCACAGATAATTTTCTTATCTGGCATGTATGATCTTATCAAAGGTATAAAAAAATTTCCTTGATCCGGCCTGCATTCAAATGACTCCAATATAACATCTAATACTCTATTTGGATCTAAATTAAAACAACCTGCAATAGAAAAGTTATGATAATAAAACTCAATTATATAATGAATTGAAAATGACATGATCATCAATCAGTTAAATAAACAGACCAAATTTTTCAAATGAAATTAGATTTTATATCTGATATTCTTAAATTTTTGGTAAAGATAGACCGGCTCGTGTAAGTTACTGTTGAAAAAAATTCTCAGCGATTACGATTCTTTTTTTGACAATATATATCATGGTCTTATTGATCATACTAAAATATTACAGCCCTAGGACAAGTTAAATAATTTAATTTTAAAAATTTGATAGCATTTTTTTGGCGTAAAAGTATTCGACCGATTTCAAAAATTTAAAAGCCATACCATGCAACTCGAAAGGAACTAGCGTTTGTCAATTAGCGCGACGTTATCAATCAAGCCGTTTCTTTGTTAATAGCTGAAAAGTGAAAAAATTTTTGTCAATCCTGAATCAATTTTAAAAATTCAAAAACCGTTTGAAAGATATTGGTTGGGAATCGTGCTGATTACTTTTTAGTGAAGATCGGCCGTTTTCTTGTAATTAACTGTTCCCAAAAAATTGTCAATTTTCCTGTAACATTTTTTAGCAATAGATATCATGATGGTCTTAAAAAAACATACTATAATATTACAGCTCTATAATAAGTCAAAATTTGATATGATAGTCAAAATTTGTGTCGAAAGTTGCTTCTGTGATGTGATAAGTCAAAATTTAAATTTTACAAATTTTGAAACCATTCAAATAAATTCGATAAGTAAGAACCGCGATGAGGTTTGCGAAAAGATAAGAAATGGCTTTAGAATTAGCAAAAAAGTGAGCAGTTTACAAAACTTCTCCAGTTGCGTAAAAAATGTTAACATTAATTTAAAATAAATCATTAAATAGTATCAAGCACTACGTACATGATTCAGATAATTGAGACAGTATTTACTTAAAGTAGACATTAATACAGTAAAACCTTGATTATCCGGACCTCAGTTATACGGATTTGCAATTATCCATATAACTATCAATCGCGACAGAGTTATATGTATGTACATACCTACAATTCAAATTTTACGCGATTTATGTTGCAGTTTATTATATGTATGTAATATAATCTAAGAAAATATATATGTTCATACATAATAAAATGTTAATTTCTTAATACATTGGATTATCTGGGTTTTTGATTATACGGATGCCTATCGACAACAGTTAGTCCGGTTAATCGAGGTTCTACTGTAGTTCACATAATAATTTTTTAAGTTCCCTAAAAAAATGTTTCAAAAGCAAAAATTTTATTTTCAGAATTAACAGTTGTAAATTTTATCTAAATAACTGAATCACAATTTTAGTTGATTAAGTCAATTTTTACACAATTCAGGATGCCTTGAACTTGCCTTAAAGCAAAATGACATTATCATCCAGTTTTTTATATACTAGTCATATTTTACTCTTTAGTTAACTCATATATTTATAGCATTATGAATTGAATCATTTCAACTATATTAAAATGAACTTTACAAATTTGGCATGCATACATAATATACTTAGTCAAAACAATACTTTTGATGTAACTACTATGTTCAAGCTAAGAGAAATTTATTAACAATGATTTAGTATTGTAATTTTACAATAAAAAATATAGTAAAGATATCAAATATTTGCATGAAATGAATTTAATTTGTAGTAAATTTCAATTGTAATTATAAATCAACACATAACTTACCAATCAGTGACTTAATAACTTCCAAAATATTCTTTGGGGTTATTGTATCATTAATTTCTTGATTCAATTCTACTATCAGTTTAGCATAACCTTCACTTTCTTCACGATATAAATTGAATTTTCTTTGTTTGTAACTAAAAATATATTTCATGTCAAAAATGTAATAAAAAGTGATACATTTTATGTATGGTCATAAAAACTTACTATAATTTAGTTTTTATTTTTATAAATTTTGTATAGAATGTTCTAGATGTGCTCAAAATCCCAGCTTCATTTAATGTATCAATCTCTAGACGTTCTTTCAAGAGTTTGTCAGAGAGAAACTATAACAAAAATGTATATTACATTTATTATCTATATGAACATATAAAGTACTGGCGTGATATATGTTGTATAAAATGTATCAAAGCACAAAGGGTTAAATTGAACAATTTTAATAATAATCAGGAATAATTCCCTTATCATATTGTCTTTTTATGCTAACCTTTTCAGTATCTTTAGTAATTTGACAGAAAATCTGCCTTTCCTCTGGATCACTTAATGCTGTTTCTGCATCTAATATATTTAAAACATCCAAAATAATTGATGGTAAATCATTGTGCAAATGCTGAAAATAATAAAACAATGCAATATAAAGAAAAATATGCAAATAATATAATATAATGATGCTTACGCATAATTCACCAACTGCAGAACTAACTGCATCTCTCCTTATGGTGCCTTTGATGCCGTTTGAAAATAACTCATATATAGCTCGGCCCAAGCCAGTTAGTTTGCCAGATTTTGATAATAATGGTGTCCTAGCATTGTCTTTAATTGTAGCTTTACATTGTTTTAAACTGAAAAATATTATAAGAAATTAGAGAAAACATCATGCACCATCATTAAAGTATAACATAAAAAATAAACAAGCTTGCAAAAATATGTAAATGTACTAAAGTTCGACCTAATTGATTATTACTATTATACTTCGAGGCTTGATGTTATAACATATTTTATTTAGACACATTTTTCTGAAGGTTTTTGGTTAGGTTAAATTTGCATAACCAAGACAAAAAATAATAATTAAAAGTGTCTTCACGACTGCTACTAACTCATTATATTATATCAATAACATTCTCTATATATTGTTACAATTTATAGAATAAACAACACTCACAATTCTGTTTTACCAGATCTCTCCCAAGTTTTCCATGTTTCACTATTTACGTTTATAGACATTTTTATAAGTGCTTTATGAACATAGTTGTTTTAAAACAACGTTTTAACTTTTCTGCCTTGCGATAATAACCTACAACGCTGTTTGTTAACTATAACTCTCACAAGTAATCAAACAAAATTTCGTACAAAGTCAAATCGACTTGGAATAAGATACAAATGCCAGAATGCCAGAATCTAGTTTCCATAGAGTAATAGGTTGTTAAAAGCGCGTAGATAGGACATTGCGAAAGAAATTTCTAATATTAATTTGGCCGAAAAACTTTACACCTAAAATGATTTCGGCCATAATGCGGCTTTCAGTGGCGCTACATTTGAATAAAAGAGCTAAATAATTTAATTTGATTTTTAATCAAATAAATTAATTGAATTTAATATAATCGTCGTGAAAGGCAATATTTTTTGAAAAAATATTTTTAAAATACAGTGCATTAGAAAATTATATAAATTGTCAACTTTTATTTCAAGATTTTAATCTTTTTAATCTTTCGAGTAATCTCAGTTACTTTGGAAATTATAAAACCTAGGAAGTCCAAAAATTAGTTTTAAGGTACGTTAGAATAAAAGTTGAATAACGGCGTTTTTTCTATTAAACCCTGAAAGAATATAAATGTTGATGCTGCACATGCAAAGATTGGTAACTGTTTAAAGTTTCGCTGTCTGGTATTTTTCACTTTAATATTTTGTAGAACATGGAAATGAATTGATATAACCCTAGACAATATAATAATATTAATTAATGGATTTAACATAAAAGTTACAGCCTAAACAGTTATAACTTATCTTGATGTATAATATAACATATTTATTCACTGCATGGCAGGGGTATGATGTTCACACATTGTATTCTGTGTAATTGCAATTAAAAAATATAAATGCTGACTATTTGAAAGTAAATATAATCAATTAATAGACCAAAATCATATAAGCAAAATGAAAGTAAAACATCCACATCCTTTTTAAATATTTTATACAATATAACAATTTCAATCATTTCATTTGCATAGATTTCATTGATGGACATACAGTAAGGTTTCATTAATGCATTGGGTTATTTTGTGTATCAGAAGTTGTGATTGTAACTCCCCTACAAATTGTATCTACTTATTTAAATATTCTTAATTATTAATATACTTTTCTATGCTACATTTTTTTTTGAAAAATGACCAATTTATATAATGCTATACTTAATATTTATTACATTTATTCAAATTAAGAGTACATGCATCATAAAATAGTGTACTTTTCGTCTAAATGATCATAATGAATCCTTATATACAATACGATTAATATCCATCATATTGTTACATATTTGAAATAATGTACTATTAACTTGAATAAAAGAGAAAGTATAAAGTGCAAATGCTTTTGCAATATTTCTGTATCAAACAGTATCATTTCTCACATTCGGTCTATGATATTGAGAAGTAAAAGAATCGACATATAGCAAATGATGAAACCAAATATTTGATATTGTAAATTTACTTATGAAAGCATAAAGCACATTGAGTTAGATATTTTTTAGATTTCTAGATTTTATAAAATCACTGATGTACAGGATCATCAAATGAATTTTTATATAGTATGATTTCCATACACAAACATGTTTCAAAAATGTGATATTTTTATTTTACACAAAGATAAACAGCATTAATGTTTTTGTTTAGTATTAAAGTAGATATAATTGCCGTGTATCATTCGTCGTGAATCTTTGTGAGACAGTGAAATATGAAAATCATAAATTTCTAATGTCCATAGAACGACTATAACTCCTAATTATGTGTACATAATATAATAGTTTTTCAGGTCAATATTATTCTTTACTTTGTAATATATCTTTAATATAATATTAACAGTTACTGGATATAATAAAATTACGGTTTAAACATACATTCTTTTTTCAATATTAATCTTTCTTTGACAAGAAACATTACTTGAATATTTATGTCATAGAAATAATAGATTTCTTCTCTTTTAGATAAAATACATGTTTAAATCTAATTGTACACAGCGACGACAAATAGTTACAGAACCAAAATTAATCCTACATATATTATGTTATATTTTATTTAATTCATACCACCTCTGCAAACACACTAGGGTCATAAATTTAATCATTCAATTTATATCAAAATATTTATGCATTTTATACATGCGTGTAAATATTCAAATATAAACTCATTTATATTCATTTGCTAATATACATTTCGATCAAAGCCATTTCAAAATTTTACAAGCAAAAAATAATCATTAAGATACTAAAACTTGTTCAGTGCAGTATATATTACAGAACAAAAAAGAACTTGCAACAAAAAATGCAGCTAGTCGGAATATAAAAATATATATTCATAAACTCTAGGCTGCTTTCAGAATATGGAGGGCAATTCTCTATTGTATTTGACAGGGCACAAATTATTACTTTATATGAATTGTAAAGCTTCTAAGCATCAATTTCACATAAAATTAATACAAAAAATTAAATGAGTTTAAAAAATTAATTCATTAAAATTAGTATATAACTAGATTTAATACTATGATATAAATTAGTATTTTTATGACAAAAAAAAAGAAAATAAAATGAACATGGTATGAACAAACATTATAATAAAAATGTTATACATATATAGCAAAAACTCATTCGAGGTTACAGGAATTATATGTTAATGCAATTCATCATTTACATTATATTAAATCATAAATTGAAAGAATGAAATTTGAGAATAATGAACAACTTGAACCAAACATTCTTTCAAAAATAATGACTAAACAAAAATTATGAGAAATTATTCAAATTAATATACTGAGAACTATACATCTAAAACATATATCTCTCAGTACTCTACAAAACCTTTCTTTTCTTAAAAATGCCATCAAAAGTCTTTGCATATTTCGCCAATAAACCAAGTCACACTATAAACAAATAAAAACTTTAACATAACTGCATCACACATACAACTTGTGCATGTATAAACTGATAAGTACACACGCACGAGCACTATAATCACTTTGAAACTTCATACACCGATTGATGTCATGTCGATGTGTGGTAAATGTCATGACAGATCACAGTAGCAGCAGGAAGGTTATAGGTTGCTCAGATTGTATCCTGGTTCTTGACACATGTATTACTGATGTTTCACTTGGTTTTCTGTGGCAATTGATGGTGGGTTACGGCTGTCGTTACAGCATTCTGCAACTGTGGTCCTGATGAGCTTGAGGACTCTATCTGCTTTCGGTGACTTATTTCCAAATCTGCTAAACGTTTCCATAATTCATCTCGTTCGCGCTCGCGTTTCTTTTCTCTGTAAAAATATACGTTTTAGAAATATACCATAATTTTGTATCGAATTTGCATAAGCATAACCGGTTATGCAGCTAGTAATCCTTATTCAATTTAGATATACAATATGAACACTTTAGATATTTATTAGAATTTTTTTGATCATTTTTAATTAAATATATCGGCAATTAGGTACTTTTATTATACTTAATGGCAAAATTAGTTACTATATTTATTTCAAACAAAGTTTATTTTATCAAGGTATCAATATATAAATATATGACAGAGTGTCAAATTCTTTATTAAAACAATGCATTTGTAATTAATAATTATTATTGTGATAGAAAGAATAAATAATGTTGGTTTCAAATGACAAAATCTTGTATAACTTAAGGATATGTATTTTGACATTCAATTTCGCATTATTGAAGGTTTTTTTTTTGTTTTCGATAATGCCTTCAGATAAAATATTTTAAAAATGTTGAATTTTTGAATGTTGAACTTTAATAAAATGAGATCATGTTCTGTAAGACTACATTAGAAAAACAGCAAATAATAACGGATTGTATAATTTTTTTTTGACCATTTTTATAAAAGCTTTGAATTCAGATGAAGATTTATATTTTACAAAATAGTCAAATAATAACTAAATATCAAAATAACACAGGAGTTATCTTAACATTGAAATTATAATTAAGGAACGTCAAGAGTGAATGACACTGATTTTATAAAAAATTTACATAAATAGTACAAGAATAAAAAATATATTTCTATAAACAAAGTCTAAACACTAAATGAATTATAAAATATCCACTTACTTCTGTCGTTCTCCTTTATAACTTGCAGTCAATTCATCAAATAGTTTACTATTCATTTCCATGAATGTTTTTAAGACATTATAAACTAAAGTCACAATTGTCTGATTCCAATGCTCTTTTGAAATGCGGTACAAAGCCGGAAACATTATGGGCATAATTACATGATTGTTTTCTTCAATAAGTGACATAACATATTCATTATTCCAATAATATAAAGCTCTCTCAGCAACCTACAAAAAATTAAAATATTATATACAATACAACATTGAATGAAAAAAAAAAACTATTTTAATATTTCTAACTTTGTAGAGTACTAGTTTTATTTTTAAATTTGGGAAATTTATATGTATGGTATTATCTCATTTTAATTCAGCATTCTCAATTTAAAATTAAATCTAATTCCATTTAAAAGTAAAATATTTATATATAAAACAAAAACAATTATATACAAATTATATATACAATTATATATATATATATATATATATATATATATACAATTATATACAAATAACAAATTTTATGAATTGATCATATACATATTTACATAATAGCACGACAATTTAAAAAAATGGTATCTATGATACATATGCATGAAATAGATTTTATATAATCTGATAATTTCATACCAATAATTCATTCACGCATTCCAATATGCCAATAATTCATTTTTTACCTGAAAATGAGGACTACTGACACATCTTGCAATTTGCCTGAACAATGGCTCTTGTACCCGAGCGAATTGTGATGGCTCTAGCACATCCATTATTTCCTCTATCTCTCCAAGAAACATGACCTAAAAGTATAGAAAATTATAAATTAAATATATTAATTTATAATTAATTATAGGTTATAAAATAAGTTTATGAGAATCCTGTATTTTATAAAATTATATGTAAACAAACCTCCTTTTGGCTGCAAGTTTTTGGCCAAAATTTCAGAAGACCCCTGACAACAGGTTCTGTCAAGGCAGCATCTTTTTCCAAAAACTGAACCACACAATAAGCTAGTTGTGCATGATACAACGATAAGCATTTCACTTTATGTAAAGGCAGAAGAACTTTTACCA